TAAATAATCTGGTGTTTTATATGACTAGCGTGACGAGCTGGTGGTTTCGTAGTGACGTGTATGTATGTAGGAGTCCTGATAACAAAGTTCATGGAGGTAGTACTAGCATGCCCCACAGTTCATAGGCTTCACAGTGAGCACGGCAAAGGAGCGAGATACAGTCGAGCCCGCCTATAACGAACCTGAGCCTGATGCGGCATCTGTTCGATGTATCTCGAAGTTCGTAGTAAATGAAACACAACTTTTAAAAAGTTGGGAGTGAAAACACAAACTTTTTTGCCCAAAAAAGTCCGTGATGCACGTGTTTCGAAGAGCAGAAGCATAAAGTGCGGTCTCTAGTTTATTTCAAACAGCAGCGTGCTTGTTCGCCAAAGCCCGTGGCATAAGCTGCATGAGGGACTGGCTCCAAAAGTTTCGTCCTTCTCGCAATTCATTTCCTCTGGATCGCTCTTGCCACGTACACGTACTTCGTTCACAATGCCCTAATCTGTGCACGGTTCCGCGGTGTTGGCATCATCATCGGCCGTAATGAAACTATCGCAACAAATATTCAACCCGCTCTCCCATGTCGAAGTTGACGGCACGCTGCCACGAATCGCTGCCGAAGTGATCCTGTTAGGAAGCTTCAGGCTCGGCATCGGGCCTGACGTCGACGAAGTCGGCCTCGCGAAAACAGTTTCGCGTGCATGTAGCCGTCACTACCATCAACGTCACTACCGCCCACGTCCAGATATTCGGTTGTCGAGCCCACCAGCTCGACAACCGAATACCGGGACGCCCGAAGCGGCAAGCCAGGTGGTCAACAGCCATGAGCAAGCGCTCCGCAACGCAGCACCTAACGCGCGGATTACGCCCAAGCCAAGTGGTCACGCTTTCAACCTTTTGTTCAGCAGCAGGAAAAAGCGCGCAAGACCTCCTGTCTGCCATCCTGATCACACACGCACACCAAGAGCGAGCAAGACGCCCACACGGGACACACATGCCAGAACGCGCGGAACAGATCTGGGCCCGTTTCTAGTCAGAAAACGAAACTAACTCGAGTCAGCGTAGCTGGTGTTGCGTAGCGGTGGAGACGGGCGAAGGGGTTGTGATTAGGAGAGGGGAGCAGATTTGTGAGAGAAGGGCAAGGAGTTGCGATAGAGTGAAGAGAGGGGGGAGAGGGCGGGAGGGCGACCTTGAAAAGCAAAACACGCGGGAAGGACGTAGGTTGGGTAGCTTGCTTGAAAGGTCCCATGGAGGAAGGAATGAAAGGTTCGCAAAACGCGCGCGTAAAAAAACGTGAAAGAGTGCCTCCACGCACATAAGTCAAAGCACGGCTGCCTGGATTGGCGCACGCGGCGATGTTCTAAGAATTGGCAGTCGTGGTCAAAAAATCGTTTTGTTGGGCCGGCGGATTTGCGTGGCCTCACCGACTTCGATATTTCGTGATTCGTTCCGCGCAAATTAACAGCCATTTTCACACTTCCACACGCGTGTGGAGGGCATGCTGAGCCGAGTATGAAGTGAGCGAGAACAGGTCCTAAACACAAAACGAATCGCGAATTATCAGAGTCGGTGGGGTAGCATACGCGCGTGCACTAAACGCAGACTATCGGATACAGTTGGTGGCCGACGATGTTGGCAAATGGTCTGGTCACTCCAGGCCGGTGACGCCAACGACAGTACCAGCGATTAGAAACAGTGGAGATGGCCGTCCGGTCTTTGAAAGATCTGTGGCAGTGTGAAAACACGGGCCTCGCCTGGCAATGCGGGGTGCTCAGAGTGGCGGGGGGGGGGGGACACACACAAAGCATGGACGAGTGCGTAACAAAAAACGGTCGGGGAGAGTGGCAACTAGAGGCAATACTTTTTTGCAGACTAGTTGGTTCATACTTGAAAAATTTATTTGCTGCACAAACTTGAAGGAAAACAAGGGAAACTGTGCCCTTTCCTGTCTCCCTTGTTTTCCTTCAAGTTTCTGCAGCAAATAAATTTTTAAGGCAACTAGAGGGGCGCGGAGGCAGGGTCGGCGTTTCACAATAAGAGTGTATGGGCACCTCGCCGGTCGAAAGTCGGCTGAGCGCCGATCCTGTTCGCTGCAACCGATCGGTGGCGCTCGGTGGCGCTCGGAGACGTTCGTTGTAAGTGTGATTTTATGTATATTTTCACAGTCACGCAGATATTGTTTGTTCTAAGCGAAAGTTCGCTTTAAGTTGGGCTGTTATATGTATATGTGGGCTTGACTGTATTTCCAATTTCAGTGGTAGAAAATCTGCGCCAATTACGCCAACCTGCCGCAATTTCAAATTACTATGCCATATTGCTCCAAAGAGGTCTTTTTTGTCTAATTTGTGCCATTGTTGTACCACAAAGTTGTTTTAGAATGGAAATTAATGTTGACAGCATGCATCATGAGCGAATTTTTTGTGATGGTTGCCATCTTGTACTATTTGCGCTGCTGTAAAAGCATGGAAGCGGCTGATCAATTATTCTGACTGCCGCGCCATTGCTGCGGTGTTTTTTTTGTAACCATTGGCAAAGAACGAATGCAATGTGGCGACTATCGTAAAGCGTGCCAATATGACTTATCGCCAACGAAAGGCCTACATGTGTGGCTTAGTGCCGCTTTGAGCCTACTGCACATCTTTAATAGCCGGTGAATACCTGAGAGCGCTGATCGCTGCCGCCTCAACCGTTGTGTGGGACTGTGTTCAGCGTGCACCATTTTGCAGAAAGCAAAGCCACTCGCTGCTGTAGAGTTGAGCGTTGTGGACCGTGAGGGCCTAGACAGCAAGTGTAGCACATGCTTTCATAAAGCAACAGCCCAAACGAGCTTCCGTCCGCTGCCAAGGCCGCTAGAGCTTTCCTTGCAGAAAGCTCACATCGTCATGTTAATGCGACAGGCTTCTCGCTGCATCTATGCATGGTCTGAAGCGCAGTGCAGGTTGTGTATGGTCTCTGTGCGGTATCTGTGCACGGTCCGAAGTGGCTAGGCACATTGTGTACTGCGAGTAGGCGAAGTGCTGCATGCAACTAGACAGTAGACGATCAGCTCCCTGTAACAGTATCGGACCTTAAAAAAGTCAGTTTTCGCTAAGTAGCAGATTGCAGTACATATTAATCGCAAACAGCTGATTATGTCCGTTTCATCGCCATGTCAGTCGCTGCGTTGGCTGCCGGACTCCGCACTAGTATCTAAATGCTCTTTGGTGTCGTCACCGCGTGTCATTGGACGAGAATGCCATTCATTTCTGAACATTGGCAAAACGAAAGTGATAGCTTCGTGTGAAAAAATAGGGAAGGGGGTCGCAAAGTCAGCCCCATACGTTGACTTGATAGGGAGGGGGGCGGTGCTGCGGCGAACCTCTGCCCTCCCCCCCTCTTGAAGGGGAACCCTGCTCACGCTTATGTACTTAGTGGTTAATTCATTGTACGTTTAGTGCATAGTTAGCCGCGTTCCCAGGTGGCTCACGCCATGTATACGTAATAACGAAGTTTTACTGCAGTGAGCTTTGAATGCGTCTGTGTGTGCATGTGTTTGTATGTGCACTGCTATGAGCTTTATGCTGCAGCGAGCTTGTTTGTGCAATATCCTTCACTATCTTATGTCATTGCTTCTGTACATAATCCTGCTTTTGTTTATTTTGTGTGATTGCTGCTTTGTATAAATGATTATATAAACTGAGGGAAGAATAAACTAAATTGAATCTAAATTTTCTTGCTTTTTGTGTACCCCGAAAACCCTGTGTCTGCTCCACAAGAAGATTTTGCCTGCTCCAATGGCTGCTCCAAAATGCTGGGAGGCATTCTCACCAGTGCAATTTGTGTAGAAACTGTCGTTGACCTGTACTGTAGTAATGTTACAGTGGGGATGAGGGTTCCAAGTGTGGTCTAACTCGTGGTGCCTATCTTTTTGTGTTAAATATCCAACACTGCCTTTTCTTGCTAGGAGTGATCGCTCGTCACCAGTATAGGGAGTTATTGATAATGATGATACTCATGTGGTTTTGATAGTGCAAGGGCCAGGTGTGACCAAAAAACTCCAAGGCAAATTTTGTATTACTATTCAATTTTAAGCAGTGAAAATCTTGAAGAAGCTGAATTTACGCTGGAAAAATTGTAGTATTCTGATGTACAAAGGCCTATTCGGGCATACTTGGAGCATCTTTCTATCAAATGTTTATGAACGCCACGTAGCTTTATTCTAAAAAACTTGCTTCTATTCTTTGAAGAATTCTGTCACATGACATATGGCATGTGATGGTGACCATTCTGTGTTGTGCATTGTGTGTCAGGCATGCCATTTGCAGCCTACAAATTCTTGGCATAAAGCAATAACACATGGAAAACTATGTGAAATGTCTATTATTATTGTGTGATAGAAAGACACCCCAAATGCACTCCAAGGTCAAAAGTCTAAAGTGCCTCTTCCGATACTGGCCTTGAAAAATGCCGTATGTTGTATGGTACAAAATTCAAATGGATACATTTTCACAACTATAAAAACTCACATGACATTCACTGGATGTCGGTCAAGTATCGTACCCCAGAGCCGCGCCAGTGCTTCAAACTGCTTCTGAAAAAGACTATACGGCTACATTACCAGATGTAATATTGCACTGTAAAAGCATGTAATTGCACAAGGTGTTGCACCATGTCAATCGTGTAATGAGAGGGTGGTGGCAACTGTTGAAGCATTGCAAAGAGCTTTGATGTACTTCATCATTATTAGTAGTTGCCACAGCATCAACAAAAGATGATGGCCTTAAATATGCAGCGTGCCATACAAATAATATTGTGATCTCTCAAAGCTCTGATGATAATCATGATAGCCTTTGACTTTGAGTAAAAGGACCTACGACTTTTTTTTAAAGGAAGCAGTTGGAATAGTTCAGTTACCTTGTGGCTGTTAAGTTGCTTTTGTATTGTGATGTAATGGCAGGCAGAGGAAAACCACACTTTATTATTCTATGCCTTGGCCTGTGTTATCACAAGTGCTAATTGACAAACATCTTTTGCAGCCTTGATCGCAACTTGATGTGCACTGGGAGCAAAGGCCTTCTCACCAAAATAGTTGAAGTACTCAAGAAAGAAGCGGGTAGCTCCACGTTCAGGTTGGCATTGTTCCTGGATTGTTTTTTTTTTCTATCTCTTATTCGCTGCTTGTACATGTGTAATTGCAGGCAACCTGCTTCATTATACTGTAATTGCTTCTTGTTATCTGTTCTTGTTGATGTTTGCACTGTGAGCTAAACAGCTGAAGCTCATTTCTGCGTGGTTTTCTTTTCTTGATTTTTTCCCCCTTGTGGAGTTATTTTTTAACTTGGTGTCATTGACTGGTAGGTTCGAGAATATGGGATGTATTCGTTAAATAATTGGTGTCATTGACTGGTAGGTACGAGAATATGGGATGTATTCGTTAAATAATTTATTTTAGACCTGCATTCAATCGAGCACAGTGGGAAGTGTAACATTGCTGGTTTCCCCCACCTATGCTTGCGAGGTGGTGTTGCTGTCCTGAAAAAAAATGAAACTAAATGATGACAAGCTAAGTATGTTTTGGTTACCAATGTGTGTGAACAGGCTTTTGAATGTTAATTTTCATATCTTCATACAGTGTTTCTATAGTACAGATAAAGGTTAGCCTAAACAGAGAGAACCTTTTATATTAACAAAAGCTGTATCTCATTGTGTTTACTGATAGCAAAGCTCTGTCTAAACTTGACTAAATGGTTTTCTATAAGTAAAGGTCAAGCACCATGATACTATGCACAACTTATGATTACCATAATTAGATGTTGCAATTAATTTTCTTTACAATGATACCTTGTTAGTTTAACTTGTTAACCCTTTTTCTACTCTTTTTGTGTCCAAATATGTTGTTAAAAATACTGAATTTTTCATTTGTATAATTCTTTTCACTGCATTCCAACTCTCATTATCACGCATATTCGAGGGAAGATCACTGGTGTGATTGACGCTTTGGATAGTTGATTTTGGCTGGTTAAATTTGTTTCTCGTAAATCCCGCATTTTCTAGTAATTAGTCCAACCGCTGAACATTTAGAATCAACTTGAATTTGCCCGTTTGGGCAACATAATGATATTTGACAGACCTTTCGCGAACCAGTGTACATGTATTGTTGGAAAAGTGCGCTAGGCTGGCGAACTTGACAAAAGTGCGTGCCTCTCGTGATTATGCTACAGTAATTCATCGAGACTGAAATGAAAAGAACTTTTGCAAGCCAAATACAGTCGAATCTTATTAATTCGAACACGCTTAATTCGAACTTCGGGTTAATTCGAACTCGCGATGAGGTCCCGTCAAAGCTATGTGTATTCCGATGGGCGAAAACTCCCGGTAATTCAAACGCGCAAGAACTTGCGACGGTAAATTCGAACATACCGTGCTCCGAAAATGCTCTCGACACCCTGCCCAATCCCGCTGCGGCACCTGCGACACTTCAACGCTGCGCACGAAGAAAAGGAAAAAAAGGCTGTGGTGGAATGTTTGCTCTTTCTCAAATGCCGATCTGCGATGCGCCTGTGTCACGCTTCTCCCTTTTCCGCCACGTGCCGTTGTCAGATAAAGACCCTTCTCCTTTCGACGTCGCGCTCGGAGAAAGGAAAATAAAAACGCTGTCGCGGGGTTGGTTGTGTGGTTGAAGGAAAGGAAAAAGGCACTAGAAAGTTTTAGTGCTGGGTACGCAAGCTCTTGGGGCGTTGCGAGCTTAGGGGCGTGCGGCGTTGCGTACCCAACCCATACCCAACTGGAATGCCTTATAGAGGCGCGCACGCAAACGCAAGCCGCATGAAGGTCACACGCGCCCGAAGCGTCATAGCATCCTAATTGTCACGTAAGTATTATTTAATTATGTTTACGATTTAAAATGTTAAATTAAGCTTACATAGTGACATGAAGTAAACTAATTTTAATAAATCATTTTTAAATAATATAACAGTTATCAACACAAAACAGAAACAAAAAAAGCTTTTTCATGTGTGCCACACTTGCGACTGAAGCTGGCACCGTCGATGCCAAGCAATCCAGACAGCCGGTCTTAGTCCCACAAGTGCGACGACAGAGCAACAGTGTAACGTTTAACTCTGTAACTTTTAGCTTGTATGTATACTTCTTTACGTTAACGTGTTAGCGGATACCAGTTTGCGTTTACCGTCCTACCAGAATGTGCCTCTTCTAACGTTTTGAGCTCATCATACGTAAACATGTATGCCTTTACGTTTTCGCAAACCATAAATGGTGATGCTTACTGCATTTAACTTACATAGGAATGAATCACCGTTCCGGCAAAATTGCGAGACTTTTTTTATCGCAAAAAAAAAATGAAAAATACAATGTTGCTGTAACGATAGTGTCGACATCTTGTGACACTTCGTGCAACCACAATCATGAACATGTTGGCTTAAGCGTAATGTTTCTGAGTTGAAAATGACAAAAAGGTTACTCATTTGTAATAAAGCCGCTGCGCGGTTTTTGCACCCGACGTACAATGCACAACGTTTCTGCAATAACAATGTTGTGATTGTCTGGTTCACTATGGTCACGCTAGATGGCGCTACCTATCCAGCTGGTCGGGGGGCTGGCATATTTTTAGTTTCTATGTTCCAGGCCATTCTAGCTTTGGTAATCTGGCTGAAACAATGTAATTGCTACTGGTGCTCGCACTTTGGTTTTTTTTAACTCGACCGCTAGAGTATCAGCAGTGCGTATACCGAAAGTTCCTGCAAAAGTGGACCTTACAAGGCGGCTGATTCATGCTGTCCGAGATTTGGTTGGCGCCTTTGTGCCATGATATTCGTATAGTGGCTAGCCAGTATAATAATTGTGCTTTATAGTTAGAAATCAAAGTGGTGGCTCTGGCCAGTCTCGGCTTTGCTCGCCGTGAAGGTGGGTGAAGTCACGGGCAACATGATGTGCCAGCATGTGCACCTGGGCAGCTTATCTCTGCTAGGAGGCCAGTGGTGGCAGCGTTGTTTATGACCGCGCGGACGCATGGCCCCATTGCCCCAGCGATCTTACAACGCATCTGTTTGGGTTTTCGCGCATGCGCAATACTGCCGCTCCAACGTCCTGGGTACGCAAGCCGCTTGGGTACCTAGCACTAAAACTCCCTATTATCTTCTGCAGCCCTTGCGCCTTGCGGGAGCACGGCTCTGCGCCTTTGGGGGAGGGGGATCTCTCACGCTCCGGTGCCACGCTTCCCCCTTTTCCCGTCCCTGCCCTGTAACCCCTCTCCTTTCAAAGACGCGCGCGAAGAGAGCAAAAAAGAAAAAAAAAAACAGCTGCCGTGGAGTGTTGTTTTTTTCTCAAATCACGGAGGAAGGAAAAAGTTTTTTCCTTCCTCCATGTCTCAAATGCCGATCTGCTTCTCGTCACGTGCTGGCCATGCCTGGGCTCCGCTGGTACACAGTCGTCGTTGTCGTCGTCTTTAAAGAGTGTCAGCGCTGGACATTTCCGCGTGCAACTTCTCTTGCCAAGAGAATGCTGAAGCCGAAGTAGAATTGCTTTGCAAGCTGCGTGCGAAATTTATTGACTCGCTGCGAGGCAAACGTGTGCAGACGCGCATCACCGATTACCTCAATCAATGATGGATGTCCTGTGATTTGTGAATAAATGTAAGTCTCCTGAAACTTCTTCCTCGTGTGTTAGCTCAATGCACATGCGCTACTGCATGGAGAGCCCTCTTTTTATTTATCTTTCATTAATTCGAACAAATTTTCGGGCCCCTTCGAGTTCGAATTATCGAGATTCGACTGAATTGAATCAAATTATCAACCTTGCAATTTGCCAGTGTTTAGCCATAATAATTGCCAGAAATTTATGCCAGCCATTCAATAGACAGCTGTTGCTAGGAGTTAAAAAAAATTTATTCTACAAAAAATATTTTCTATGGTCTGCCGCATGTTTAATGTGTTGAGATGACCTTCTCAGCCAGTTTCCAGTAGCTGTGGTTTTGCTTGTGTTGTTATACCAGAGTCGCGTATAGTGTCACTAGTCGGACTTAGGGCAAAGTCGTCACGCACGCATGGGTGCGCACAAGCGCTACAAAACACATGCGCTGCTCGAAACTGTCTTGCAACCCCACCTGAATTAAGTGAGGACGAGCTTGTAATTCGAGAATCACAGCAGCTGAGCTTCAAGTTTTACGGCCATGATGTTTTGCGTCAGCCTGCAACATTCACAGTCATTCATGGGTTTGCTTTCTTTACGGCCTCAAGTTGTCTCCTCCACCGCAAGTGCATAGCTGCTGACTTCTGTGCACTATCTTATAGCTACTCTGGTTACGTGCGAGGTCCACACTTCGCTGGGTTGCAGTGTGCTGGCGTCGGCTGCATAGCTTCTCCTAACGACAAGAAAGCCCCGAAACACATCTTGGCTCTGACTACGGAGAAGCTAGAAACAATTGTAGAACTGCATGCGATATTGTTCTTTTTGCATTACAATGTGAAAAATGCTAAGAAATATGTTTGAATGCATATATAAGAATGCCAACCTAAGAGGAGTGAGGTGGATCATGGAAAGAGGTGATGTTAGATGAAATAGCTACGCTTATTAGACATCTGATTTATAGAGAGATTATTCACATCACCGGCATCCTTTTATTGAAACACCTGAAGGATCTTATCGCAAGAAGACAAAAGTTTGGTGAGAAATGTGTACGAGTTCACTTGTCTCATGAAAAACCAGGCAAAAACGTCCCGCCGCGGTGGTCTAGTGGCTAAGGTACTCGGCTGCTGACCCGCAGGGCGCGGGTTCGAATCCCGGCTGCGGCGGCTGCATTTCCGATGGAGGCGGAAATGTTGTAGGCCCGTGTGCTCAGATTTGGGTGCACGTTAAAGAACCCCAGGTGGTCTAAATTTCCGGAGCCCTCCACTACGGCGTCTCTCATAATCATATAGCGGTTTTGGGACGTTAAACCCCACATATCAATCAATCAAAAACCAGGCAATGCTTCACCGCATGGATCAAGCAACAAAGCAGCACCTCGGTACTGATTTTCTTTGTCTTTGTGAATAGAAACATTTTATACAACATTTATTATTTTTATACTGTTCCTGGGTCATTTTTCTTCAAAATGTATATTCTAAATTTT